TGCACTAAATGATACTTACCTTTAATGGCAATTTCTAAGAATTTTTAAAGTACTTTCATAGTAAGTATTCACTTATTTTTACAAGCTAGTATGCTTCATACAATATTAATTCAGTTACTATCCATAAAATTCTAGCTTCAATTGGGAGTTCTCTGACAAAACTTTGCTTATGTGACTTAAACTAACTCAGGAATGCACAGAGGTGATTAAAAACAAATATTCAGAGGTATTTATTTTTGTGTATACTGACACAAGATGTCTTTGAAAGGTTGTTAGACATGCATATTATAATTTACTTCCATTTTCAGAAGAACTTTTTGAAATCTTCTCATTCTCCTTTGAACCAAGCTTGTTGTTCACTAATCATTGCATTTTAACAGAAAGTCAAGGTTATGGTTTGGAAAGAACATCAGTAGGATATAGGCCCTAATTTTAAGCTGTTACTAATGAGTTGATTGGCCTTGGGCAAGTCATAACCATTCTTCTAGCTTCTCTCTCTCTTTTTTTAACATCTCATAGAAGATAAAATTATACAAGATAACAACCTTGTTATGTCCATTCTGGAGCTATGTGTCCACGAAAATTTAAATTAACATAATTTTAAAGTGTTCTTTTAGATTTTACTGATCACATGGGAAACTTCTGGAAAGAGACCCGTTCTCTTTCGTTGAAAGTGTTATTCAACTTCTTGAAATTGATTGCCGTTTGCATAATTTAATACATACGTAAAATTGAACATGGAAATTTTAAAGGCATATACCGTCTTAAAGTTCTTTGCAGGTAGAAGATAAACTGTACTCTCGACAAATGCAGTCAAGATTAATATGGTATTTTCAAGGAATGAACTGCCTTAAAAACAACACTTTCCTGAGTGCTATTCATTATGAGAATCCAAATGAAGGAGAAACACAGCCCGATACCACTGTCTTTGTGAATACAAATTAGCCAATTGGTCCTGTTTGAATTTGGATTCAAAAGATAGCTCAATGGGCAGTCTTTGATGCAGTTAGCTCTACATCTTTGTTGTACACCATTTGTGGGAGCACACAGGGGATTTGGAAATGGATTTGAGGGCCCAGTGCGGTGGCGCAAGTGGTTAAAGGTCCTCGCCTTGCACGCCTGGGATCCCATATGGGCGCTGGTTCTAATCCCGGCAGCCCCGCTTCCCTTCCAGCTCCCTGCCTGTGGCCTGGGAAAGCAGTGGAGGACAGCCCAAAGCTTTGGGAGCCTGCACCCGCGCGGGAGACCCGGAAGAGGCTCCTGGCTTCGGATTGGCATAGTATTGGCCCGTTGCGCTCACTTGGGGAGTGAATCATCGGACGGAAGATCTTCCTCTCTGTCTCTCCTCTCTTTATATCCGCCTTTCCAATGAAAAAATAATAAAAATAAATCTTTAATGGTTAAAGGAAATGGATTTGAATTAGGATACATTGGCATACTGCTAACTAAAGAAGCAGACCTTTCTGTACAAAACCCTGGAAGAGTCTAGAAAGTAGCATGCAGTTATGTGGTTTAATAATAGCAGAGGGAGGCAGGGCAGGGAGGAAACACCAAGCTAGCTGTAGAACTACCCAGTGCTGTGGTCCACTGCTGGGTAAACTCTGGGTTACTACAGGGCCTTCCAACTTAAGTAGATTAAGTAGATTAAGTATTAAGTAGATCAAGACTCAGATCTCATCCTGTAAGTAGTTGTTCCTTTCTTAGACCTTTTAAATGTTTGTTTATGTAGGAAAAAAAATACATCATCCTGAAATTAATGTGTTTTTCACAGCTCCCTTAAGTACACATCCTGTTGGTAACAAGGAAAGAGTCAACCAAAAGTCTCAAACTGTTCTTTCTTCAAAGAGTAACTAGCTACAAATTAATAACTTTTTTGTTGTTGTTAAGGTTACATTTAGGGCAAATGATAATGAATTTTAGTAATAGTAACAACATAATTTATTAAATATATTTACACCCCCTAAAAGATGCTGGTTTAGAGAATGCTTAAATAAATAATAGTATATGGCTAGTAACATTTTCTAAGTTTTGACACATGAATGATTCAAGCAGGGGAATTTTGGGGATGTTGGAAAATATACTGAACTGAAACACGGGAAACTGGGTCACCAAATCTAAATTTTTCTCAAATAATGTGATTATCCTTGACAGTATGATTACTGTTTCTTGCTTGCATTTTCTCATTATCCAGTATGTATAATTAAATTTACAAAACTATTCTTGGACTGACAATGTGAATATTAAAAATCATAGTGCTATAATTCAATGAACATTCAAAGTCATATATACATAAAATTCATTATGATATACAAAAATAACATGACTTTTTATGACCGTTTCAGTGCAGGAAATGGAGAACAAGGTTTCAACCACTTAGGAAAGAATAATATTATCTGTTTTCCTATTAAGGTCATTCCACTTATTGCTGGTGGTGTGTGTGTGTGTGTGTGTGAAAGAGAGAAAGGGGGAAACAAAAACCGATTCCAGTTTCCATTTAATGTTCTTAAATATTAGAATTGTAGTTGTGTTTTGCAGACTAATTATATGTTTATCTTTGCTATTTTCTACAGTGACAAAATACTTGAAAAATAAACTATGTTTATTAAGCGAACCTAATAATAGCTCTTACATCTCAAGGCTTGGTAACAAATAGTGTGACCTATCTTTTTATAGTTATTAAAAATAAAGGAATATAATTTCATGCCTATAATAGTGTTAGGAACATTGCTCATCATGCTTTTCTTTTGAGTTTAAAACTACAATTTTTCTAATATCAACTCCTCTTAAAACCGTTTTATTGCTACGTAATGTCATTTTCCTATAGGTAGGAGAAATAAATTTTATAATGTAAGCCCCTGCATATCCCCGAAGTTAAGTTTGTTCTGGTTAACACAAAGCAGTATAATTAAATTTATAAGCTATTTTGACAGGTTCCAGGCTATGTTTTTGAGATATATATGAATATTCCAAAAAGTTTGTGGAAAATGGGAGCAGAGACTTACATATGCAATAATCTTCAAAAACTTCATCTAAAATATATACAGGAGAGATTTTTTAATAGATTTCAAAAATTTCATAGATAAAGTAGTACCTTTTAATTTTGTTTTTCTACAAAATTAGATTGTCTTTATACTTATAAATAAGTTCCAACTTATTCATTCACTTTATGAAATAGAGGATATGCATACACATATAAATCAAGCAATCATGGCTGAGTTTCCACTCTATTAAACAAAGCAGATTTAAGTGTTGCTGCTAAATTAGATAATGATAGACATCATAGTCTCATTTGTATATAAATATGTAGCAATTATTAAACTTCAGCAGTTATCAGAATCACCTAGAAGGCTTATCAAAATATAGCTTGCCTTATCTGCCTTCAGAGTTTCTGATTCACTAATTTTGGAGTAGATCTGAGCATTTGATCTTCTAGCAAGTTCTCAGGAGAGGTTGGAGCTCTTTCTTGTTGCAGCTCTAGGACCAGCCATTAGAAACGTTAGTCTAGTGAAAGACAGTAGAACAAGTGAGAAGCTCAGTTTTCAACTCTAGTTTTGACACGTATTAGGTATGTAATGCCGTTATCACAATGATTCTATTTACTGGGGCTGTTGAATGAATACTCCATCTTAAGCACGTCAAGGAGTGCGTAGTACATAATTAGTATTCACCAAATTTAACACCAATGACCGGGGTTGATTGTGGATAGAGTGCTACTATTAGAAGTTGTAGTTACTGAGGATAGAATATACTACAGTAGTGCCCCTTTTGTTTATGGCTTCAGTTACACTCAGTTCAACGTACTCCAAAATTTTAAAAGGAAAATTCCAGAAATAATTTCGTAAGGTTTAAGTTGTTGTTTGTAGCGTATGGAATGTTGTGCCATCGTCTCTGTCCCTACTGGAACGAAGATCATCCTTTTGTCTCGCCTATCCGTGATGCATATGTCCACTGTCTGTCAATCATCTCTTAGCCGTCTGAGTTATATCAAACGAGCTGTTGTGTTATTATGCTGCTTACGTGCCGATAATCATTATTTGACTTCGTGAAGTCCCTAAAACAGAAGAGCAGTGATACTAGCAATTCAGACATGCTAAAGAAAACTGCGGTGCTTTTTTTTTTTAAAGATTTATTTTTATTATTTTTTCATTGGAAAGGCGGATATACAGAGAGGAGAGACAAAGAGGAAGATCTTCCGTCCGATGATTCACTCCCCAAGTGAGCGCAACGGGCCAATACTATGCCAATCCGAAGCCAGGAGCCTCTTCCGGGTCTCCCACGCGGGTGCAGGGTCCCAAAGCTTTGGGCCGTCCTCTGCTGCTTTCCCAGGCCACAGGCAGGGAGCTGGAAGGGAAGCGGGGCTGCCGGGATTAGAACTGGCGCCCATATGGGATCCCGGGCGTGCAAGGCGAGGACCTTTAACCACTTGCGCCACCGCGCCGGGCCCCGGTGCTTTTTTTTAAAAGTGCAAATGTGAAAATTCTCCATTAAATAAGGCAAGAAGAAAAAAATCATACGCTGAGGTTTTTTAAGATCTCTGTGAAGAACAAATCTGCACAATCACAAAGGGAAAGAAATTTAACCACCTTTCGCGTTCACATCTCAAGCTGAAGGAGTTAAGCCATAGTGTGTCCTTAGTAAGTAAAGATGGACAAGGCGATACATTACTACCTTGTTACTACCTTGGTTGTCGACATCCACTTCGAATAATCTCGGCAGAGCTGCAATATCCACATATGTTTTAATTCACCTGCAATTTGGGAAGTTTGTCAGTCTTTTTGCTAAGGAAGGCTTGTCGGAGAGCTTGGCATTCATTGACGCATGATTTCTTTAAGGAGCATTGTACATAAGACAGGTATTTTCTGAAAGGAAAAAGTGGCCCTAGTGAAACTGCTTTCCAGGTTGTTAGATATCGAAGATTGCAGTGTTTGCAGAAGTTTCTGCATCTGTGTCATATTTCTCAATATTTAGAGTTTCCTGTATTTGTTTCTTCTCTTCTCTAGCAACAAGAGCAAGATCCAACAAACCTATACATCTCAAACCTCCCCATTTCTATGGATGAGCAGGAACTGGAGAATATGCTGAAACCCTTCGGACACGTCATCTCCACAAGGATACTAAGGGATGCCAATGGAGTCAGCCGGGGTGTTGGTTTTGCCAGGTAAAACTCTTGCTCTTTATGTAATTCCATTCCTTTCTAACACTAGTGCCCAAAGCAACACAGTACACACCGTCAAGGGAAAAAAGTAGGTAATTAAACCTACGCCTCTCTGTATCATTGCTTGAAGTCAAAGAATATTAGTGTAGTTATAAATACATTGTACTTGCTAAAATATGGACATAGAATATGTTTACATGCCTTGAATCAGAATGCTACGCATGTCCAGTTCCTAGTATGCTTTGTGCGTGTACACCAACGAGATCTTATGCTGTCAATTCTTGCCTGGGGTAGTGAATGTCCAATATCCCAACACAAAGAGCCCGTGTGGTGAACAAAGCATCCCAATGTTTTCGTATTGATTCTGAAATAACCGAGATGATAGGGTTTATCATTAAAGAGTTAAGAGGGGAGATTTAGAAAAAGAAGAATTGTAAGCAAATCCCAAGGAGCCTAGAAGTATAAGATGAGGTCAAGGAGGTATTAGCTTTTTAGAAAGATACTGGCTGTGTGTTTTTGATAGTTTAGGCAAAACAGAAAAAAAAAAAGAACAAATTATATTTCTTTCCTTGTCAGAAAAGGAAGAGTAGTTTTCACTTGAACTTTAATGGAATGTTTACAAAGGGAATCTCCGCCAGGAATAAGCTTAAAATGATTGTACCTGCTGTGCTTTCACGGAAAACAAAGCTTAAAAAGCTACAGAGAAAAAGAAATCGGTTCAGTGAGAAATAAGGAATGTAACCTCCCCGGATTCAATGGCTTGGCGATTCTAAGTGTGCCTCCAATAGCCTTGCTATGGATGAATGAATGGGTAGAAAGTGTCTTCTGGAAGTTGACCTACATAAACTGCTGTATTCACCCAAGATTTACTCAGTCATCACTTTGGAAACCCATTCCAAGCCAGCTTGTGCAAATCTAACTTCGGAAGAAAACAAATACCCTATCAAAGTTAGTGGTTCTTTACTTTGGTCTACTTGAGATTATGGACTAGATCAAAAATTCGTTTGAGTTTTCATAGAATTCCGCGTGTAGTAGACCAGCTGACATGTGAAAGGAGCATGCTTATGTCTGAGAATAGGAAAAAGCAGAATGAACAAAATTTCCCTATGTATAAGAAGTCGATTCAGACTTTCAAGGACCCCTATAGATTTTCATGGTGAAGGCACAGTTCATGATACCAACTGGGTCTTGTGAAAATTGCCCATCCTCATTGTTGGGTAGGAAGAGCCAGCCATCAGATGTCTGCAACACCGACTTTCAGAAAAAGTTTTCAAACAACATCAACACAATTGCACTAAGTTTAATTTCTATTTTTATCCACAAAATTGCACATTTCCTTAAATCAAATTTATTTTCACTGTTATTTCGATGGATAGATGACTCTACAATTACCCATCTTTTTTTTCTTAGATTCAGATTTTTAAAGATTTATTTTATTTTTATTGGAAATTCAGATATACAGAGGAGGAGAGACAGAGAGAAAGATCTTTTGTCTGATGATTCACTCCTCAAGTGCATGCAACGGCCGGTACTGTGCCAATCCGAAGCCAGGAGCCAGGAACTTCTTCCAGGTCTCCCACACAGGTGCAGGGTCCCAAGGCTTTGGGCCATCCTCGACTGCTTTCCCAGGCCACAAGCAGGGAGCTGGATGGGAAGTGGAGCTGCCGGGGCATTAGAATCAGTGCTCGTATGGGATCCTGGTGCGTTCAAGGTGAGGACTTTAGCCACTAGGCCATACCGCCGGGCCCATACGTTTACCCATCTTTTGAAGCTCATGAATAGCTACATTTGATGATCATTCAGAAATTTGACATTTGTGAATTATCAAGTCATGCCCCAATACAGAAACTTAGGATCTCTGTACTCCACAGTCATGTATTTTTCAATTTTAGAAAAGTGACAGATGAATTGAAAGAAACCATTGCTGGTCAAGCTAATCAATTTTTATGTTCAAGAAATAAAATTTGTTTGCCTATATTTTGTAAGAAATCAGAAAATTGACATGGAATTAATATTCCAATCTCCATGTATCTTCTGTGTTCGATTCTGAGGAGCAGAATTCCAGAAAATTAACATGTCTTGCTGGAATAGATGAGTGATTTTAACTATACCATATAAGTAGACCTTCCTAATTTATTAATTTTTCAGACATTTGGTTTTATTTCTTCAGACAGTAATGGTCACTGCCTAAACCAATGAGATTATTCACAGCTTAACCCCTCCACAAGTATTTTTTTCTGTTTAAATATCATTATCTCTCTTTTATCCCCAAATTTGTCATCTGGAACCCCAACTCTGAACCACAAGAACACACAAAGTCATTTGTATTACTGCTTTCTCAATTTTCCCGGTGATAATACATAGAAATGAGAGAATTTATTAGATAACATGCAGTTATCTCGGGCTGATGTTTGTCAAAATGAGTTTCCCAGATCATCAACTTCGGCGTCACCTGAAAACATGTTAGCAATGCAAGCTCTCCCACCACCGACCTACTGAATCAGCAATTTGCTGATGGGGTTGGCTAGCGCTGTAATCTATAGTCATGTATTAACACACACCACCTCAAATGCCAAGTCTGCTTTGTGCCTCAGGGCTCCATGACTAGCTCCATTTGTCATCTGGAAGTTGTGCGGCAGTAGGTATGGAATAGGACCCAGTGATGTGCTTTTCTAACAGTCCCTAGAAGATACTGATGCTTACTGGTTCAAACCATACTTACAGAACTACTGCTCAAAATTCATCTCTAATTTTTTTCTGGATGGAGTTGACTCCCTGATTCCTTTATCCCATTCTATCACCTTCTCAAAATGTGCTAATAGCAAGTATATCTGTGTATTTCTTCTTTCTGGAGAACATCCCTTAAACTTCTTTGAATCTCCTCAGCACTGAAGATGCTGCCTGCCATATAATTGACTAGCTCAAGATTTAGGAATTCTTTTTGTTTTGTTTAAATGCAAGAAGAAGCATTTAAAATGCTGTGCTTCAAAGCATGAATTTGAACACCAATAAAGCTCAGACACAAAACAGTCGCCAGGTTTTTAAATTTACAGACGCACTAGATAGTGTCTGAAATTATGTATCTTTTATTTTTCATGTCTTTTTTCTTCCCTCTCTTGTATCTTAAAACAATTTGGTACGATCCACTACCCTCCAGGCCACATTTTATAGACAAGTCATAAACACAAGTTTATGGGGGGATAGTAATTATGGGAACTGCTCCTGCAGAGCTGGTGGATGCCAACAGACTACCTTGCCTGCTAGGATCAGAGCATAAATCAGTCAGTCTTCAGGGACAGGACGCCATGTTCATGGGAGCCATTTCCCATTCCTAGAAACGTGAGACCATTTGTTCTGCAAACACCATGTTGAAAGAGTGTTAGGAGAGGCCAATAAAGAATAACTCTGCATGGAGATGGGACGGGGACTGAGCAATGAATCCAGCTTCAACATCTGGGAGCTTAGAGTGTCTTTCAGGAATTACATTTACTGTCCCCTAGTGAGCTAAAGAGCGTGAGAGAGCACTAGGACACAGGAGCCTTTGTGTTCTGCAGTGCTTTCGCCCCCTCTTTGGCACCTTTAATTTCATTCTCATGAAACCTTGTTTGGCTGGCTTTTCCCATACAGTCAGCAATGGGTTCTACCTCTCCCTCTTGGAAGAGCAAGATTTCACAGAAATCAGTTAGAATTCATCTTTTCTTTAACTCAGTAGTAAATCAAAATAAAATATGATGGCTAAAAGCAGACAAATAGTAGCCTGCTGATTCAAAACTGGTACAAAGAGCAGGTTAACGGTATTCCATTTTATATTTTGTGAGTTTTTAATATCATTACAATTTTATAAAGTTGCCTTCTACAGTCTGGTACTTCTTCTTGCTCCCTCTTCTCTTGAACATGGGTTAATGGGAACCCTGGTTCAGACTAAATATGGTGAAAATAGAAGCTTTTGAACAAGTTTAAATAAATGCCAATATTGTCTTTGTGGACTAATAAATGATCCCTTCAGCTGATCAGCAGATTGGTCAATCTTTATTTCCATTGCTTTATTTCCATTGCTAGAATGTTTTGGTTATTTTCACCTTGCCATCCTCATGTTAATAACCCTTCCTTGCTGTTTTAATGATTCTTTTGTGAATACACTCACAAACACTTGGAAACGGGAAATAAAATGTGACCAAAGAAAGTCTCACAGATGTAGCTGAGTGATTGGCAGTCTGCAGACTACACCTGTGTTTGCCCATGAATAGTTGACAGTTGGGTTTTCTGGAGTTGGAGATAGTTCTCATTGGTCATTTCAGTTTTTTCTTTTTTTCTGCTGCAATTATCAACAGAAGTGTCCCACTGGAGAGACTGGAGAGGGTCCCGCTGGTCTCCCCTTACCAAGCTCTCAGATTCTGAGCCTCTTTTTCTTCTTCTTCTTTTTAATTCCATCTGTTTCTTCTCTTTACCTTTTTAAATGTCTTCCTCTCCTTTGGAAAGTAATGATCATGATTGAATAAAGCTCAACTTTCTGCTTTCTTTCCATATGTTCAGTCTTGGGTCAAAAACCCAAGTCAAGCTAAACAAGCAAACTAACTAAATTGATCAAATCGTTTATCACACTGAATATCCCAGGCTTGAGCCTTATCCTATACATATCTTTACAAACATGTGAAAAGGGTAGAAAACATATACTACATTGTTTTATTATTTAAAAATAATGAAAATGACTGTATCCCAAATGACTGTCCTTTGTGAAATAAGAAAAGTCATTTGCCCATGTAAATAACTCTATTATCTCCAGAAGGGAAATGTTGACTATATTATGTAAGGCCCGATAAGCCCTATAAGGGCCCTATAGGCTCTATAAGATCTCTTCTTTAGTACCTATTCTGGGCATAAAATGTTAAAGGGATCTGAAGCTCTGTGATGGTAGGAGGGATTTAAGACCAGTAGTCTGCTTTTGTCCAATTGAGAAGAAAGAAGAAACACTTTGAATTATTAATTGGACTACAAATTTCCCA